ATAGGTGGGAATAGAAGATGGTAGGGCTTTTTGTTGTCCATTTCTTCAGAATATTTAATAGACTACTAACGTATACAATCACTATTTTTTTATGCTAGACTTCATCCTTCATGATTTCCCTAAATTCTATCTATCAGATGGTACGAAATGGAACTGGATCGTTACCAAAGAATATTGTTCACAAAGATTAACTAATCGATAACTGAGTATAGCCTTAGGAAATACATATTGGAAAAATACATATGTGCACCCCTTGAAGAAGTGAACGAAGTGAATTTCAGTTTCATTGAAGAAAATAATCGGAAGCAGAATTAAGTGATACGATGCAAAAAAATAGCATCATAATCAGTAACTGCGGCTATTTTTTCTATGACAATCAAGTACACCAATAAAATTTCAATACAATAACAGTCGATATATTATAGTTCTTCTTAGTAGAACTAAATATTACAAGACGAGATTGTTTTAGTTTGTTTATTGTTTGTTTTTTAAAAGAGTTATCGGACCTATGAAATTTTTGACTATTCATCGATATCCGCAGTCGTTGTCCGTAGTAGTCACATGCTTTTATATAAGAAAAAAGTCGGAGAGAAGTTTATCCGGGCTGAATTTTTTGGGAGAATCATCACCTAACAGAGAAAAGCTCACATGATACTCTATACATTTGTTCAGAGTATCACGTGATATTGGACGAATAATATTCGAAGATTGACATTATTTCCCTTATTCATCATTAGAATTTTTCAAAATGGGAATATAGCAGATAGAGACAAAAATTAATCACGCAATGACGTATTGCAATACCAAAGATACGAGAGGCATACTTCTTGGGTATTCTCCATGTATGATCTACAGTGGTGAGCATAATTTTTTGGGCAGAGCCCAGTTCCACTGGAAAAAGAAAGAGGTAAAATACATAAAAAATGCATAAAAAACATTCTAATATGGCCTTTTCCCCATTTGTCATTCCAAATAATTTTGCTCTTCAAGCAGTCTCCGACTGATCACCATCGTATCTTCTAATAATCAGAATCAATAATCATTGCATACTATTTATGCACGGAAAAAATATTCAAGTGTTTTTCATGTTATAATGATGTAATACACAAATATCAATAAACAAAAATTATTTTTCCTTTTTGTCGATCACGGCAATGATTATTAGTAATTCTATTACCTGTTTTAGATTGATATCATCTGTTCACTAGTTGAAAAAAGACAATTCGGCCTAAATTTGACCAGGTTGAATATAGGTCGAATGATGATCTAACCTGTGTCAAATTGAGGTCAAATTTTTGGGCGCATTTAGGGTGCCAATCGTCTCAAATTCGGAAAGAAAATTCGGCCATCACTACACTACCATTCGACCTAAATTTGACTAGGTTGAATTTAGGTTGAATTTAGGTTGAATTTAGGTCTAATAGTGGCGTCAAATTGAGGCGCAGTTCGGATGATTATTCGACACAAAATTTTGTCTCAATATTTATTTATTAATTTAGTTCAATTTCAAATTTATTAATTTATTAAAACACTTAAATATACAGTACATGTATATTAGCATCTATCTAATGTATAAATAAAATAATTATACACAATTTCACAATCACATGATCGCATCTTGAAAAGAACGAATGTTAAAAGTCGTCTTACTATAACTAAAGAAAAAAAATAAAGTCCAAGTC